TACAGAACAGACTGAGCCACTGCCGCCCCTTATTTCACCTCATGTTGATTATACATAAATAAACATAACTTTTCTCTTCTCAGCTTAAATCACTTGACAGCTAAACTTGATTGTTGCTTTTCATTGTAACTTCTTCATAGTTAATTAAAATATTCTTTTTTGCTCAGCCTTGATTAAATACTACATAATAATGATTTGTACCTATCAAAGAATGCTCAATATTAAACCCATAGCATAAATTCATGATATAACACTACATTTCTTTATCCAATTGATTATTTACTGGTTAATGAATGTGCTTTGTTTACACAACAGTTTAAATGCAGGATTTTCTGTGAGAATATTTTGTATGTGCACCAGAGTATTACACCTTTTGAATAAATAGCGGGATCGTGTCTTATCTCGTGCTTTTTTGAAAGAATGAATGAGGAAATACTTCAAAAAATTACAATTCGAGGGCGCTGGTGGCGCAGCGGTTAGTTCGCACACCCGCCCAATGTATGGAGGCTGTGGTCCTCCAAGCGGGCGGATCATCTCTCCATTAAAGGCACAAATAGCCCAAAAATAAATCTTGATGGTGTAACGTTTAAAATACATTTTGCAGAATGAAAAGTTTAAATAATTTATATTCTTATTGATTTATGTGGTTTCACTAAAAGGCTCTTTACAGCTCTTGTAGCAGTCTTATGAACAATTTTCAAAGATGTAGCAAATCATCGATTATTGTTAATTTGGTCCCTAATGGAACAAGTCTCCAGATAAAACAAGCAACAAGAAAAACTAAATCAGTTTCATTTACATGTTCATGTCTAAACGGGTTCATTACTGACACAGTTCCTCAGTGAGGAGGGTTCTGTTGATCCCTCTGCACCAGGCATCAATTAAACCTTCAAATATCCCGATAGCTTTGAAATTAACTTTTCACACCCAAGAGCTTCCCTTTTTATTGATCCAACGCCCATTTTGCAAGATGGTCTGGTGTTACACAAGATAAAGGCCGTGATACTTGCTGTGTAGTGGCCACAAGTGACTTCTGCACGTCAGTTTTGTGTTTTCACAGTCATCTACAGCAAAAATTGCAGAAGTTAAGAAAAATGTTGAAATCTGGGTGCACCTCGAGACAGATCATGTCCTGGACCATTTACCGTAGGCCAACGCTGCCTGGCTTCCCGTAACAACCCATGGTCCGGATATCCGCTACCCCTTTCACTTAGAGGAGGAACTGTAAGTGAACAAGCAAAATCACAGAGTTAAATTCACCAATACTAAGGAATATCACTCCATAAAGTCAGTATATCTATACCAGACAACCCAGAGTGGGCTACTTTCAATAGAGTATTTCAGACGTTTTCAAGAAATCCCAACAACCTTTAGTCTTTGGTGTAGAACTAAAAATTGTAAGAAGGTTTTTATGAGTCATTTCTCTTAGTAACAATTCTTCATAACATCAAGTAAACACGATATGTGATACGAGGTCATGAGAGGTTGCTTAAGAGAAGACTCTACAACCAAAAGGTTTCAAAAATGTCTATAAAGATAACGTACAGCTTCATGCTCAAACACAAACCTTTTAAAGTATCCAATGATTTCACGCTCCTTCAGTTAGGGGCCATGTGATCATTACTTCTAGCTCTGGTTAGAGGTCAGTCAGTGACAAGGAACAAGATTAAAAATGAAACAGCTTCTACAAATTCAGAAGGCACGGCCTCTTAAGCGAGCGAAACCATTCAACTCGACCGCTCTTTAAGTTTCTCTTTCAAAACGACAACAACAATTAAAAAGGTCTGCTGTCACTTGAGAGACCATCGATTAGTTGAAGTGTCACTGGGTGAGGGTCTCTGGGAGGTCAAATAGAAACTAGGTGGTTTCTTTCTGACACAGGCAGTCAGTTTAAAATGACTTTAATCTTTCCTTTTACATGATACTGTAAAAATTCAAACAAAAGCCCATCCCAGTTAAAAGCCCAGTCCCTTTTGCTAGCCTGGTGGTGACGCCCGTTTTGACAAATAAAGAAAAGTCTCAATTAGAGGTGATTCAATTACTGATGATTCGTTTGCAGATCAAATATAATAACAAGTCCAGCTTGTTCATTAAATGACTAAACAGAAATGTTTTTTTTTTTTACATTGAAGGCCTTCAGTAGGATCGAATGAGCTTCAAGCTTCGTTCCAAAAACAAAACAGAGGTCAGAAGTTATCTACAACCAAGACTGACTTTTATTTTAGAACTTCTTGTGAAATTTGTTGTCTGTAATAAAAAAAGTCAACATCAACAGTCTTTTTTTTTTCCAGAGGATTGGTAAACTACACATGGGTTAATAAAAATCTACTAAAATATGAATGACTTTGTTATTATAAATAAATGCTGCTCGTGATTTGCTCTAAAAGCAACTCTGTGTTTGTTAAACCAACAGCTACTTGTTATTGTGTCATTACAAAGAAACATGCAGATTATTTCCTTGATTCTTTGTTTTTTTCTTTAAAATGGACACTTTTATTATTAAAGCCTGTCATTACTTTTGATAGAATAAGGTGTCATCTTCAAAGGTTTTACTCAGTCTAAACTAAAAGTCAAAAATCACAATCACTGACCGTCACTGGTGACAATAACACGCATCAAACTCTTCATAGAAGCAAGAAAAAAACAAATCTAATTGTTGGTTGAAAAATGACTTAAGCAGTAGCTTTATGAATAACTAGTTGCTGATTCATATTCTGTTTATAAACTTACTAATAGACTTATTGTTGCAAAGCTTGCTATACATGTTGCCTAATTAGCTTATGTTTTGAGATGCAACAAAACCCTTAATCCATCTGTTTGCTCCATGCCCATGATGCAATTTTACATCAACCTCATTGTGGTATGTTGTACTGTCGGCAAAAAGCCTAAAAGGGTTAAATGAGAAATGATCCATCGACTTATCTGGAATCTTAAAGAACACAATCTAATAAAAGTGTTACGTAAAGTGTTTTTTCGGGAATAACCAACAATGCCAAAAGAAACCACACAATACATGAATCATAGGGAGAGCAAATGTTCTTCCATTACTCCACAACTTGTACAAAGTGGACTTCTGACAGGTGTGTGTCTGTGTTTGTATTGTGTTATCAGAGGAGTTTTTTAGGAGGACAGCCTGCGGAGGGGCCTATGATGCAACAAGGACTTTACGGACAGACACTGCCCATTGACGGTAAAATGAGGAAAGGGGGCTGGGCTAAACTTTCAAGAAAGGAGGTCATCGTGTGTGGGAATTTCCCTCTCTCCTGTCAGCATACGATCCAGGAACAGGGAAAGACTGCGAGGGGGCTCCAATAGGAAACGAGGGGTCATTGAAGGAAGAATGTCTAGAATGTTTTAATGGATATCTGCCAATGCTGACAGCTAGAGAAAGCTCTGTGCAGAAAAAAAACAACGTCTTTATAGTGTTACATGTTTAATGATTATCACATTTGTTTTTGCTTGGTTTCTGTGGTTGTTTTAGTTCTGTCTTTAATAACCGACAACTTTTCAAGATATCACACGATTTAGTGTAATTTGTTCTGTACACTGGAGTAAGACCCAAATCCAGGCTACATCTTCTCAAAGCTATTGTCTTGTACAAGGAGGATAACAATGTCTTATTTAGATGTGGGTGTAGCATTCTTTAAGTGATGATGTGTTGGAAAGGGAGGATATTGCACAACGTTTTCAAAGCTTAACTGTTCCATCATTGAGTATGTTGAAACATCCAGTATTTTCAAAATGTCATCCCTCACCGCACAAACAGTTTTTATACATAATCTGGAGGATACGATGAGACTTTTTTCAGCGCTGAAATAGAGAATGTGTGCCTTACTATAGAAACTAGCAGGGTTGTTGTTTTCTTTTCCTCTCTGCTGTTTGAAGTTGGGAAACATTCCCCCACCCTGAATTGTCTTGGACCACATACACAAATCCCACCATGCCTCTTTCTTTATCTTCTCTGGCTGGGCTTTACTTTGCTTGTGACAGATAGGTTTCATATTGTGGACACAGTGAAATGCAGACTATGGGCTTGGTAAATTCCACTGCAAACCAAATGTCGGCTTATCTAGCATGATTGTTGTAACCTTCTTCGTCACTCCCATTTTTTAACTTCTACATTTTTCTGCTGAATGTTTTCCACTTGAGGGTTAAACAAGGTTTGTTTAGGATTGTCTCCAAACCAGCCAGGTCTTCTTGGCTGTAATCGAGACCTGAGGTGGTGCGAGGAGGTTAGTTGCTGATTAATTTCCATGTAACCTTGAACCTCTCTCTGGGCCAGTGGACCCAGCAGACTATTGACAGAGCCCTGGGCTAAAGATAAAGCTAACATTTCTGTACTGCGTGCAGTGGGACTGAGTCCTTTTTTTTCTTTTTGCTGCTCTCAGCAGTATCGTTTCAGTATAAATCTGGTCTGGCGTATTTCAGGATCCGAAGACTTTTGTGTCAAATCAATGAGTAAACAGAAGAATCCAAATAGCATAAAAGAGTTACGCAATACTTGTCAATAGTGTGATTCTTACTTTAATTTTGGACAAGCTGATTTTGAAAAATAATCCCACCTTTATTGTATGTAATGGTACGAGCAAACCCCCTTTTTTGAATGTATTGGCCTTATTTTTAATTCTCCAGTAACCAGGGAGATTTCTATTGCTACAACTGCCCTGAACGCCATTTTTTGCTTTGTGCATTCTCTGAATGATAAAATAACGTAATGATGGATATATGAAGCATTAATAAAATGTCTGCAGTCACTGGTGATGATTAAATAAAAAGAGACATGTAGATGTCTGTGTCTGTTTTTTCCACATCACATTAAAATATTGCAATTTTTTCTTATGTCGAGCCAATGCTCATCTGCAAGATGTTATATTTGACACGCAATAATATGGTCTGACTATCAAGTGTGTGACTATTCAAGGCATGAAAAACACCCCTGTCTGCCTGTCTGAGCCTACACCTGCTGCAAAAGGACAGAAAATAAGAAATAACAAAGGAAATTGTTTAGACAAAGTATAAATCTGTTTAATTCAATAAAATATCAAGTACAATTAAAGCATTTCCCGTTTTAATATTAAATAATTCGACTTATTTCATTCATTGCCAATACTATTACAAAGAGTTGCATCATTTCACTGCAGCACAACTCTTCCCTTGACAACCACTGCTCCAGATACACAAAAATGTAGAAATTCACTCGCATGTATGTAAAACCTGCACAGAAATACTGCATACACAAAAATTACATCTGAGAATGAGCGCTGAGGTGACATGAGAAGAATCGTGAATGATTGCGCAATCCATGCATCCACTCCTTCAGTCCCCCATTCAAAGTGTCCTTGTAAACTGGTGGTCTTCACCTGTGAAGCGTACCGTTGCTCAGTGGAGCCCCCCCGGCTCTAAAGTCCATGAATGATCAGTCAAGCTGGGGGTCTCTTAACATTGTCCAGTGGCAGAGAGCAGGTTACGCAGGGTGGCGAGCTCTCTGGACAGCTGCTCCACGCGCTTTTGTAAACGATCATTCTCCGCAGCCAGTTCCAGCACTTTATGTTGAGTCTCCAAGTTGCGCATTTTGGCTTTGTCTCTGCTCTTTCTCACGGCGAGGTTGTTCCTCTCCCTCCTCACCTTGTACTCGTCACTGTCCTTGTCCAGGCGTTTCTTCGCCTTCCCGCTGGACATTTTGTTGCCGCTGTGTGAGGGTGACCTGCTGCTACCTGAAGGACCAGGTGTGCCGGGGGGGCTGGAGCAGGTCGAGGACGCAGTGGAGATGTTTCCAAGACTGCCGCTGGTGGGCTGGTAATGAAGGTAGGACCTCATGTCAAACCCAGACGACCCGTTCTCCATCTTAACGTTTTCCTGACCCTCGTCTCTCTCAGCAGCAGCAGCAGCAGCAGCAGCTCTGTATCGGCTGAGTTCAGGACTGAGCACACTATCCACGCGGGTCTCTTGCAGCTCAGTGTAACCCAGCGCGTAGGGCTCCCTGGGGTCCCTCAAGTTGTCGCACTGACTCGTCTCCAGCTCGCTCAGCAGAGAGTAGTTCTTGTAGCCCTGCAAAGCTGCAGCTCTCTTGAGCTTGTTCTCCGCCAGGAAATCGGAGAAAACGTCCCCCTGTTGCTGCTGCTGCTGCTGCTGCTGCTGCGGACAGTGCAAAGCGGAGTCCAGGTAAGCACTGAAGTCTATCGCTCTCTCACGCTGCTCAATGCCCAGCTCCGTCATCGAGTCCCCGAGCCTCCAGTATGAGCCGCCGCTGATGGGACTAATAATGCTGTCTCTACTGTGGATAGCAAAGCTGCCCTCGTCGTAGAATCCGGCCACTTCCATGGATTTAACACCCACTGGATTGCAGGAGCATGGAGGGCTGAGATGAGACGCCCTGAGTTTCTTTTATTCTTCAGTTGTGAACTGTCAAAAGAGTGGCGATTGTTTGAGTTTAAAGCCCCGGTGTCACTTGCCTGTGGCTGACAGCAAGTAGAGCAACCTACTGAGGGCAGGCAGTGAGCGTGGATTGGGGGGAATTGACAGATCTTCCTGTCTCAAGGGGTTTTATTACGCGCGGGGGGCGGGGCTCAGGTGTGTGACGCGCGGCGAGGAGCCAACGGACAACCTGTGCTACTTTTTTTTAAATTTAAGAGTCTTTCCCGCATTTAAGTGTTTTAGTCGGGACAAAATAAAAACATTGCCTCGCTGTTTTAATGTGTCTCCTTTATGGCGAAGACTCGGACTCAAAGAAATTCAGAGCAACGCCAAATGCGTAAGACTGAGCCAAGTGAAAACAGTCTAAACAGACTGTGTTGAGTACTGACAGCAGCCCGGCCTTTCACGCCCTCTAGAGACAAAATGCATTAATTAGACAATAACAACAATCGTATTCTGTCAGTGTCCAGCATTTTACAAGTTTATGTGTAGCCTATAAAAATGTGTGTAGCCCAATAAAAGAAGCCTCGAAGGACATTTGACTTCAGCAGCATTCAGATTAGTTCAAACTAATGTGTGTGTTTGTGTGTAAAGCATCCTTTTCAGTATTGTTGGAGGGGGGGGGGTCACGGCTGGAGTTTTGAGAAATGTAGTCAGGCTGGTTTCAGATCAGTGTTTTCAACAAGCTCCAAATGTCAGCTTTTAAATACTTTCCTTAACTTTCACATGACGCACCATGCTTTTTTCTTCAGAAACACTCCATGTTAAATATAACAATCAATACAAACATTATCACAAACAAAAAGCGTTAATAGCTGCACACAGCGACTTGGTCCAGCTGTCCAAACGGTCTAAACATTATATGCACATGCTCATTGGGTCTAAGAGCTAAAATGCATACAGGTTGTTTGACTGGCTTCCTATGGCTGAGTTGGTTTGTATTTTATGCAAGGTCATACTGCCATCTTGTGGTCAGCTGCAGGAGTGTACACAACATTATAACAGCAGTGTTTTCCACGCTTTGAATATCTTTTCACCAACATTTTTCATGGTGTGCAGCCAAAAACACTTGTCATCTGTTTGGGAATGTATTCAGAACATTTCCCAGAATTATAAACACACTGACTCACTTTTACTGAGCAGGTGGTTTCAGTTTCTCTCTGACTTTTATTTATTTCTTCAAATTGATTGGATTAACAGCTGTCTGTTTTTACCGAAAATGTTAAGTCTATAGAGAAGACACAAACAGTATAAAGGAACAACATTTTCCTGACTCACAACCTGCTGTGTATCCATGTTGTCGCCTCCCAGGTCCGAATGGAGATATCACACCAACTTCAGCATAAACCCCAAAAAAAAGAACAAGAGAGTAATTATGTGCTGGGATAAGATCATTAAGGAACTTCTTTATAAATGGTGAATTGTGAAATATATATATATGAGCATCATAAATGCAGTGTATTTAGTAGTACAATGTTTACTTCATATGTAGTTTGGTGTAGAATGAAGAAAAAATGAAATATTTAAGTCATACACAAGTAGCCTATATAAGTATTGAAGGAAAATGTACTCACACAGTATGCTATACAGTATTTCGATACAAGATCACATATTGTGTGAACTTCTTGTTGCACAAAATGTTTGCCAGTGTCTACTGGCTGAGCATTGCTGTAAAGAAATAAAGTACAATGGTATTTAGGTCCCATTTATTTTTCCCATTTTTCTTAAATGATCTACTCTATTCCATTTTTAGAGGAAGGTACGAGACTTTTCACTCCAACACACTCATTTGACAATACAATATAATTGATTGTTTAAAAACAGGAGGAGTGAATGGGGGAAAGTTAACATGTAGTTTGTATTTTTATCTACAGATGATGCAGCTCATACAAGGCTACTCCAATTTATTACAAAGGGAAAAAAACATTGAGAATTGCCTCCATTTTCAACAGCTATTTTAAATCCCCCAACACTAGGCCTCAGAGAGCCATCTAAAAGCTCAAAATATTAACGAAATTTAACACCCAGCAACTCGATAGTACCAACTGTTGCAACAAATGGCAGTAAGGAGATTTTGGTAAATGCTTGAGTCAACTCTAATTCTCAAATTCTTCATTATTTCAAGAAGTGTCAGGTATAGATGTAGGCTCTACAATTGAGGGACACGGTGGAAAAGTAAAAGAGAATAAAAAGTTAACACTCGTGAATTGGACCAGGGGAGAATGTCTTATTGTGACCTTCTCTTTTTTTTTTTTAAGTATATAACTTCACTTAACATTTTCACAGTATGGCTGTTTACACCTCACCTGACAGTTTTAGCTGCAGCATCTCAAATCTGACAGGTAACAGATGTCGCGGTAACACCTGCTTTGTCGTGTCCCCCGCACAGACAGATCCGCTCCACATCCAGCAGAGGGCTCAGATCAGAGCACTGTGGACACATACAGGACGGGTGGGGTCAGGAAATGCGGTCCTCTAAAATCGCCGCTCCCATTGGACACTCAGCAGTCTGTGGAACATTTTCTTTTCCCGGCGATTGGCTGCTGCGCTCCATCGACTCGGACGTGATTGGCTGAAAACAGTGCGCTGTCTGTGGGCTGAGAAGTTGACGATTCCGTTGGTTCCTCACTGTGAGTACAGAAATTGAAGGGGCTGGGCCCACAGCGGAGAAATGGCGAGAATGGTGAACGAGAACGGCTGTGAAGGGGAAACCCAGAGCCCAGAGCCACAGGGACCAGGCCGGGGTGCTGTGAGATGGGGTCCGCAACACGCCGGGGCCCGAGAATTGGCCAATTTATACTCACCAGGTGAGTCGATACCACTCTATAGCTCCTTCTTATGGGCTTGTTCACCCGGTTCAAGTATCCACGAGTGGCGTGACATAACGACAGGTTTTGCATACCGCGTATTAGTTGCCAAGTAATAAACCAAAGAGTCTATATGCTACACATCGGTGTATCTTTAACTGCGACTGTTTAATGACACCGAACAATCAGCCACAGTTCTGTGTTTGCCACAGTCGCACTTTTGTCGTTGCACAATAGGAATCATGTGAGATTGGTGGAATTGGTGTTGGAGTGGCTGCTGTCCTTTGACATTTCGAGCATCAGGCAGATGTTAGAAGAATTCACTGCCTCTGCTTTAGGCTCAGAAGCCTCATTTGGCCATAGAGCTGCTGCTGCTGCGACCTTTCATAACAGTCAGCCAAAGCTCTCTGCTACTCAAAGAGCCATATCACAAGAAAGTAAAGGTGTGGAGATAGTTTTGATCTCTTATGAAAGTACTCCCACACTCGTTCATGTGGTAGAGGCTTGAATGCAAAGAGTAAGTCTTCACGCCCATTGTACAAATACTAAATGTCTACTGAGCTCCCTTAAACTTGTGGAGGATCATACTTTGGCGGCTTTAACTATTTAAACATGAAGCTCGTGCCTCACATAGACTGTTGGTTTTAACATTAAAGTTCATCTTCTCTCAGTTGTCATTTGGTGACAGCAGGTATTTCAAGCCAAGCTGCTCACAGGTCAAGCGAAGTGCAGAGGAATGCTGCATTGCTGACTGTCTCTGTTGTGAAGAAGCATCTGATAGTAAATTCTGCTGACAAGTTAACTGAACTTTGGTCATCTCAGTTTGAAATGTTTGATCATCAAGTTCATCTTTATGACTGATAATCGTATCGGAAAATGTCAAACAAACAAAATCATACTAATAAGTTGTCTTTTTTTTTTTTTTTTTTAAGGCAAAAGATGTCAAGAATGGTTGAGCGTTATCCTCTGCTTTTCTCTCATGGCCTTCAATTTCATTCACCTACTTGCCAATTTCCATCTGGGACACTTGTGGTACATCTTGTTGAGCATTGGTGAGTACTGACAGGCGGATTATGTAATGTTCTGATGCTGCATTATCATCAGTTCTGTTGTTTTTCAGAGCGGCAGTCGGAACAAGAGTTGCTTGTTCCTTCATTTCTTTTCCCTCTCATCCTTAGTGGCAGGAATTCTGACCGCGGACTTTGCGTCTGGCCTTGTGCACTGGGGGGGCTGACACATGGGGATCAGTGGATCTACCCGTCTTTGGAAAGGTAACGCATCCTTGAGTTGTTTTTTTTCTCTGAACTTTAATCTGATGTTTGTAGTGTAAATGTTCCACAACATTTCCCCCGTGTTTACAGTGTGCTTTATTCTTTGTTTTTCCCTTCTATTCGGATGGTCTGATCCGTCCTGCAGGCTTTTATACGACCATTTCGAGAGCACCACATCGACCCCACAGCCATCACCCGTCACGATTTCATCGAAACCAATGGTGACAACTGCATGCTGACCATAGTCCCTCTAGCAAACATGGCCTTCAACTTCCTCACCCTCTCCCCTGGTGAGTTTTCACTCGACAAACCAAGCCTGACATTTTATTCTACTTGAAAACTCCCTGTCCTTTCCTCATCTTTTACTTCAAAATGACAATGCATAACGGCTGTTTGTGTCTCCTTTTGTGCAGCGGAGATATATCAACTCTACCCGCTGTACTGCTACTTGTTTGCACTCGCCATCTTTGTGACGCTTACCAACCAGATTCACAAGTGGTCTCATACGTACTTCGGCCTGCCTCGCTGGGTGACATTCCTGCAGGACTGTCACATCATTCTTCCCCGCAAGCACCACCGCATCCACCACGTCTCCCCCCACGAGACGTACTTCTGCATCACTACAGGTTTGTCTGTTTTTTTTTTTTTTAAATCATGTGGATTATAAATAAAAACAATTGCCTGGGCATAGTGTTTCATTCCAGTCCTAAACCCCCCCCCCCCCTGACCACTTCACCATAAATCTCAGCTTGTCTGTGCTTCAGGGCAGTATAGTTTAGTGTTTTCAGATGCAGACTCTAAACAAGGTTGTAAAAGAAAATCCCCAGAATGCTTTGCATACTGTGGCAGTGTGGGGAAAGAATCACATAGCTGAGCAAATAATCATGTTCACGTTTTATAAGTTTTCTTTTGAAATATGTTCTTACTTTAAGTCTGAATATTCCAATTGAGGTGTGAAGTGTCTTAATAAGGTGAGACGTGGCTAAACAAACGAAGCTTAAAACAAACAAACAAACAACAGGAGTACACAGTCAG